TATTCCTACCTCATATGTGAACTGATTATTTAAAGCATCTCTATTTGTCTAGTTTTTGTATCTGTACTGTATTTAAATTGCAAGGTCAAACAACCAGGTGGTTACACCTTTGCCTGGCAGATACACTATTCTGGGCTTTGCTTGGTTGATTCTGTTAGGAGGAGAAATTGATAACACAAGTCAGGTTTATTTTTTTATGTGCAATCTTGTTTATTATAAGGAATGTGCTTAAAGCCACGTGTCCTTGAATACATTTCAAACAGCAGTATATAATTTTCTTGCTCCCAATTTCCTCGACTGCCTTTCTAGCCAGACTTTTCCCCTAGGAGCTCCTGTCCCCCTGCTCTGTCTCCAGGACATTCTCATGAATGTTTCTCCCATTGTCTTCTGCCTTTCTGCCTCTTGCACACACAACTGCAACCATTCAATCCCCTATGCTCTGCGTTTTGCAATCAGTCCCAAAGAATCCCTGCAGCCTATTTATATATCTATTTTATTTGTATGCTGTCCTTCCCCAAAAAAGGCTCAGGGCAACTTAGATAATCTATAAAAACAGATACATTATTAAAATAAAATAAAAGTAATAAACCAACTCTCCGGTACTCCAGACAGCACACAGAACTTAACCCTGTCTGCTAAAGGCGTGACAAAATAAAAAAGTCTTATGGTTCTCTGGAAGATGTCCAGGCTTGGGCTCTAGTGGACCTCAAGGGGAAGGGAGCCCATGGTTAAGCTACATGGCTTAGCTTCTAACTGGCCCTGTCATGTGACTGCCTTAGGCAGTAGCTTCCTTTTGATTCTGGCTATTGATAAATAAAGAGGAATGTAATTGCTCTTTCCATTTAGCCTGAATAAAAGATCCTTAGCACACCTACCAACTTTAACCAGTTCTGTCACTGTCTATAGATTAAAAGCTTACTAGATGACAGCCATGTACACCTTCAAGCACAGTAGCATGCATTATGGAAGTCTTAATTGCACAACAATTTGTTATGTTTTTCATAAGGCCCTTGCCTCAATATTTTCTCTCCTCTTTGTATTCAGTGCCTATTGTTTAAAGCACAGCAACCATATCCCATTCAGAGATAAACATTTTAATTTCCTTACAGTGTTTCTATGATACCCATTGCCACAGCAGCTGAGTCAGTGATTCTCAACTTTGTTAGACTCAAGACACCCCTTGGAAAATGCCAGCTCTTAGTTTTCACTTGCTTTTTGACTATGGAAAAGTAACAGAGTATTTTTTCTGTTGCAAAGAACTCAGAAACCTCACAACACGTCAGAATGTTTTTAACACTACTGATTCCTGTTTGAAATCGCTGGGTTTATCCTGTTCGCACACCTAACAGTGCTAACGTTGTGTGGCATCCTATACCACCCTTGAAAGGATGTCAAGCCACTTCAGAGAACCATAGTACCCCAGCTGAGAATCACTGATCTGAGTGTTTTACAAACATTAATTTACCTTCAGAAAATAACATAGAGGGAACTGAATGATGAAGAGATTAATGCCTATGTTTTCCACTGATTTGGGGTGACATGGTACTTAGTATTTTGGTTTTTGTGGTTCTTAGTATTATGATTTTGGTTTTTATGGTGCTTAGTATTATGTGGCACTTTATATACCCAAAGTGCAGCTTCCATTGACTTCAGCTGTAGCTGTGAAGGCTCAACACAACAGCTCTGAAAGTCAGACTTTATGACATTACATTGAATATCCTGAAACTGAATTATATACAGTTAATAAAAATTAGAAGTATGTTTTAAATAGCAGAGACAGGCCTAGAACCAAGTATCCCACTTCCTTGCCCAATCCCCTGCCTTTTGAAGACCCATTGCTGACCTACTTCTGCAGTCCAGTAGCATAAAAAAACCCTTTTCCAGAGCTCCAATCTTGTGGGCATTCTGATTGAAAATATCTACCTTCTGAACAGGTGATGGTTGAGGCAAATAGACACAGCCTTTTTTTATAGAAAACATACAAGATATACAGATCTAGCCAAAATAATATTATTTATTATTTGTATTATTGGACAGATTAGTGGCCCTAGCCTTAGATTAGGACCTCATTGTGATAGGTACTACATCAGCACAGACCACAGGCAGGAGCGGGTGGGTATAAGATACTGAAAAGGGGGTGTGGTAAATAACTCACTGTGTGTGTGTTTGGATTTCTCAGCAGCAAAGGCAGGGTGCAACTGCACCACTGTCCCCCACTAGGATGTGGCCCTGAGCACAGATATCCTCTGCTTCAGAGTTTTTACAAACTAAGAAACACTTGTTCATCTTTCCCTGCCTCAACGTCCTCATTCCCTTTCCATGTTTTGGGAATTTACTTCAAGGCTTCTAAGAAAACCAAGGCTCTTTTTTATTCCCTATTGTCCTGCCCATTGATTTTCTTTTAGAACATGACCTCTCTGTTTGATTACTGCAGTCAGTGACCATCAGCTCTTAGCTGGTCATGCAGTCAAGAGAGTTCATCCTTGCTTTGGAAGTCCATTTCTCTCTGTATCTGTTCCAGGGTCTGTGTTTTTAAACAACTGTGTCAATACTTTTGATTTTTTTTATTTTCCTCCTGAAGACTTTTCATTGATCTAGAGGTATGGACAGAGCCGATTGTCCTAGGCATTACCTTGCCAAACTTTCTGTTCTGACACAGCCTATTCACTTGTTGATAGCTTCTTGTGACTGTTTCATTTAAAGACAGAACATTTAGGAATCATTCCTTGCTTCTTAGAACAAGGAGTAGTACGTAAGAGTTTAACAAAGATGATAAAAAGGGCTTAGAATTATTGAGAATTCAAAATACCCATTTTTTTTGCATACAACAACATTTTAAGTAATAAAATGGGATCCCAGACTAGTCTTAAAGGATTGACATGCCACCTTGTTCGATAAATGACAGAAAGGCTTTATTTACTACAAGTATTCAGGGTTAAATGAGTCCAAACCAAAGCAAAGTCCAATATTTAGCTATAAGATGATAATTTCTCACAGGTGACAGGAAGACGGTCTGATTCTTGGCAGCTTATCTAGGTGTGGATCCTCTCACCTAGAAGAAAGCTGGGAGCAGCAGCAGTCATTGTCAGAAGGATCTTTCATTCTTTAAGCACATGCTGTTAGCTGTTTCATCCTTCTTCTTATATCCTTTAGCTCAGCATCTTCAAAGCATTCTTGTAGTTATGTAAACCAAGAGAGACCCAAACAGTAATTGGCAGGAAAATCCTGGTAATCGAACTTCTCATTATTGGTTATCAGAAAGTTCCATTGTGAATGAAATACTACTAAGTTTGGAATGTATCAAGAGACTGATTAACAACCAGGAAAAACACAAGGTTTTTGAGGAGTATCCTTGGAAGATCAAGGGGACTACTGGGCAAAAAATAAAAGTAAATCAGTAAGAAGCAGCAAAACAAAAGTAAATCAAGAGGAAACATTGATCTCATATGTAGAATGACTCTTCCTGTACATAAACATGAGTTAACTGCAAAAGAAATATTTACCATACTAATTAATCAAGACATTTTACACAGATATGTACCAGACAACTAGGAGCCTGCTTAAAATCATCATAAATATAGTAAGATAAGCTAGAAGTGATACCTCATTATTTCTTTTCAGATGGCCTAGCTGCGAACTCGCATCCTCTTGCACGATGCAGTTTGCATCACTGTTTTGTATTTTAACTGTTGTGAGTAGACCCCAGCTTAGCTTGAGTTTCACAGTCATCAGTGCTCTGCAATATAACATGCAACTTTTTCTTGAAAGGCAGAATGAATAAACAAAGATTTTTTTTCCCCCAGAGCTATGGCTGCGTAGGGCAGTGACAGAGCCTAATCTTCAGGGCTGCTTACAGATGTTCAAATAAAAATCCCCAAAGCATGTTTTACCGAAAGAAGCAGAATGGTAGTTTGACCCAGGTCCACAACATCTGTATAGATTGGATGCTTCAGCAGGGCTTTCTGGCACTTTTATCTAAAGCCGATTCAGTCTCTACAGATGTTGGGCAAGCTAGGTCCAATTAATGCATTGCCTCTTCTGGACATGTGTTGGGCTTGGTGTAGGAGTGAACCGAGTTTAAAGTGCCATTTTTTAATGTCTTATTAAGTAAATGAAACCCTAGCTGCTCCTGAAGACTGGTCTCCATGGGTGGAGCTATGATTTTGATAAGAGAGATAGGAGGGGAGAGAACAGGAGAAGCTAGCAGACAGCAAAATTGCCCTAAGAAAGGTTAGCTTGACAAGCCCATTAGAAAGAAGAGATGACTGTTAACACTTTTGGAGTGAAGAACTATGAGCCATGAAGTCAACTGACTTCTTCTGTTGCCTGAATGATAGTGCAACACCTGCTGCACTGTGAAGCAGGAATAAAAGCAGGGTGCTTCTATCCCAGTCACAAAATCAGCATCCCACCTCATACACACGGCCCAATTTTTGGGGAAAAGTTAAGTGTCGTGTGTGAGATCTTGACAAATTAGATAAATGATCTAAAATAAATAGGGTGCAGTTCAATTAGGACAAATACAAAGTATAACATTTAGGGAAGAAGAATCAGCTGTGCTAATACAACATATAGAGCTGACTTCATGGAAGTGCTTAAGGATTTGAGATTAGAGATGATCACAGATGGAACATGGATCAGCCGTGTCAGATCACAGTGAAGAAAGTAAATATCGTACTGGGCTACAGAAGCAGGAATCACTCGTGAAATAATTCCTCCAGTAAGATCGTGGCTGCAGAACTGTGTCTAGTTTTGGGAACACTTCAAACAATGTGGAAGGGATCCTGAAGAAAGCAACAAAAATGATCACAGATCTACAAGGTGCGTATCCCCTATGCAGAAAGATGGTTTCAGTTAATTCAGAAAAGAGATGAAATTGTCTTCTGTGTCTAGTGGGGATTAGAAAGGAAATAATGTTCTGAAATTGCCTCAGGTGAGATTTAGATTAGACATTAGGGAAAACTTCCTAAGTGTAAGGACAGCTAGGCACTGGAACAGATTGCCTTGGGATGTTGTAAAATCTCCACCGCTGGAGGGTTTAAGTACAGCTGAAGGGAACACCTGCGAGGAATGATTAAGGCAGTGCTTCCCAGCCAGGGTGCTGGGTCACCCGGGGGTGCTGCGAGACCTTTTGAAGGGGGCAGCAGGAAGCGTGAGGTGATCCCGGCAAGGCGGCAAGCACCTTAATACATCCCTTTTTAAAATGGGTTGCTGCTTAATTCACACCAGTTACGAAGGGTGCCTCGAGTCCAAAAAAGGCCACGAACCAGTGGATTAAAGCAGACCTTGCCGTGGGGCTAGGGTTGCCGGCTCTGTTCGACTGTCCTGGGAAGTTTCCCAAACGCCAACATGCCTGCGACACTCGACGTGCACGGGCCCGCGTGCATCGGCAACCGGGCTACGGGCCACAGGCTTTTCGCCAGGAAGGCAAGTGCAGTTTAAAAGCCCCCTGGACTACTGTGTAAATCGGACTGAACATTTAATATTTATGTTAATGACTGCCCTAGCATTTATCCCCCGGGAGCCTCTCAGCAGTCCCCTGGAGGTTTCTCTCCAACCCCTGGAGGTCCCAACGTGGGACACGAGGAGAGGCGGCCGGGCGGCCCCTCACGTCTCTGCCAGCCCCGCGGCGGCGAGTTCAGCAGCGACGCAAGAACAACGCACCTGGCACCACCTCCCGGGCTCGCCCCGCGCGGGGGCTGCCGGGAGCG